TATCTCAAAGGAGCTTCACAAGTTTTGAGGACTATTGCTCTTAAATTTTCTAAAAGTGACTGATCTATGAAAGTCATTTTAAAAATGTGTCCTCCGATAAAAGAGAGAGAAGAAAATCAGCCTGGCCCAGCAGCTTGCAGCTTGCTTGTGTGTCAGAAGCACTATAGGAGTTGCTCAGAGTCCCTGATTCACTGTCCTGTAGGCTCCAAGGGCTGGCATCCCTGAATAAACATGGGAGGAATTTATTTGCATAGATTTGGCCTCAGATGGGGAGAGGGCAGACTTGACTCAAATGTCAAGGGACCCCAGGTGTGTCTGAGGAAGGCAAATGGTTGTGGCTTGTATTTCTATTTACCACGTTTCCTCTTTTGGTATAGCTCCAACCCCAGCCCCTAGGCAGAGCTCTCCCTCTAAATCATCAGCATCCCACGCCAGTGATCCGACCGCAGATGACATCTTTGAAGAAGGCTTTGAAAGTCCCAGCAAGAGTGAAGAACAAGAGGCTGTAAGTAATCCACTGATTGCCCTACTTTCCTTTAACATTAAATTTTCCCTATAGTATATGAGGATGCCAACATAAAAGAGAATGCAAGCTCAGAGCGGGTGTCCGAACGGCCTCCCAAAGAACTTTGCTGTATGCCCAGATGCATCTCAGCCAGAAACACTGACCTTTTGTTAAGTCATTAGGAGCTCTCGCATCTGGGAGGTGGCATCCTCCGGCGGAAGTTTCAGCCCTCCTTTAAATTAACTGGTTGCCTGTGCCGCGTGAATATAATCTTAGTTGCCTTATGTTTTCACTTGTTGAAGAGAGAGGAAAAAACAGTGTTATCTTCTTGTGTTCTAGCCTGATGGATCACAGGCGTCCTCCACCAGTGATCCATTTGGGGAGCCCAGTGGTGATCCCAGTGGTGATAATATAAGTCCACAAGACGGTAGCTAGATAGCGCAGGTCTGGGTAGGTATCCGTCCTTTTTTAATCTCCTTCACCTGCAAGGTTTTCCCTCTTGCTTGCTGTGTACCGCTGATGTCATATTCCAGTGTCTGTGCTTTGTCTGCTTGCCTGTGCTGTATTATAGTGTCCATACCATCTCCCGTCGTCTGTGCCTTTTCCTAATGCCTGCGTTGTTTATCATGCCTATTACTATATTGCCAGTATTTCTCCCCTCAACCCTTGCCTGAGCCATCTCACCAATTACCAGTGTTTGAACGATCCTCCCTTTGCCTCATTTCAACTTTGCATTTTGCTTTTTTACGTGGATGAATGACCTTTGACATACACCAAAAGGTAGGGTTGGAGGGAATGTGGCAAATAGTTTTATTGTTTAATTAATGATGCATCTGAATTGGTGATGGTGATAGAATGAGGGACCCAGTCAACACTACCTAATGTGCACTGAGTTTCTAAAAACATTGGCCCTCTGGGATGGGCACATCATTCTCTCTCTCTCTCTCTCTCTCTCTCTCTCTCTCTCTCTCTCTCTCTCTCTCACACACACACACACACACACACACAAATACACACGACAATTTTTCAGTGAGCGGCGCCCCAGACGCCTTACTCTTTTAAGCGAAATGTCACTGCATTTGCCTACATGCCACGGCTCTAAAGAGGTCACTAATCAAACGCACCAAGAAGCCAGACTGTGCAACAAAAACAAGCCATGCTTGAAATAAGATTGATCAAGATGTGCAGTTATAGGAGCCCTTCCCATCTAGCCGAGAGGGGCTCTGTACCCCTTTCCAGTGTGTCAGTGAAATTAGAGGCCCAAAGACATGGAATTGTCACTCTGGAGACTCTGCTCTTGGCAGCTCTGCTGCAGCCTGTTCTTTACCACCAAACCACTGCACATTCAGCAGCAGCTAATTGGAGAGAGGCATCCTTGCATTCCCTAGAAGTGCCTTTTGGAACTCAACCTTCAGTACCTCTGATTCTATCAAAATAAAGAAGACCCGATGAAGCTAACCTTCTCAGGAGACAAAAGTATACCTTGTTCCTTAGACATAATTTCTCAGGCCAGCTTGGATGAACGTGTCAAACTTTCAGACATCTTCTTGGTTTTTCACAAACATGGAGGACCACAAAGCCAAACTCAAAGATTCCTTTTGCCCTGAGCAGCAGCAGCATGGCCACTCTCATGGTGAGCAGCTTTCACTGCACGGCACTGGGTTCTGTGGCCACGGCAGAGTTATCCATAGTGCACACCTAGTGCATACCTAGTGCACACACTGGTCCTGTGGACAGTAATTGAAAGCTAATCCAGGGTTTTGAAAGTCTATTTTTTTAATAGGCTTTGTATGATTAGAGAATCTAGCACACTATATGTGTTGTCACATTTTATATCAGTAAAATGTAACAATATGCCATACCATACAAAACCCAAATACCCATCTAAAAAGCCAATCTTTCACAATCACAAAGGGAATTGATCTCTTGAAGGCAAAGTCAGTGCTTTAGGAATGAGAAATGTTAGGGATTATAAGAAGATTCCTTAAGGTGATTCCAAGGAAGTTTTGGAGTCTTCATATGCTCAAAGTTGCTTTGTCATAAGCTCAACGTTGCTTTAGAAAATTTGATCAATGAACTAGAGGTGATGAGATCCATTCATCACGATGGTGGCAAACATTGTCCTAGAACTGAAGTATTTGGACTTACACCCTTGGCAGGTCAACATCTCAAGCACTCATCTTCACGAGCTTGTTTGGCTTGAAGCACTTACACAAGCTCAACCGTTTCCCACAAGGCCTTGGTTCGCGCCTCCTTTGATGTTCCATCTGGCTCCGCCCATGGCTGGGTTGTAGTCACCGCATGGTGCTGTGCCAAGAGCTCAGGATTTGGAACTTGAGTTCAAATCTTAGCCACATAAAAGTGGAAGATCTTGGGCTAGAGGCATTCTTTCATTTCTGCTTATGTTTCATCCACTAGCAGAGGGTTATATTACCCTTGATATTAACTAATATGCCATAAGTCCAATCTGTGGCATAAAGTCAGACCATGCGAATTCAGCCTAAAATTTAGTCCTCTTTGGGGATTAATGTTGTCAGAGTTCAGAACCTGGATTCTTCCTTCTTATCTGTGTCATCTTGATCAGGATTCACGACCTCTCTTTTCATCTGAAAAATAGGGATAAAAGTAATACCTATCTTATAGGACATTTGGGTGAAGTCATGAGGTGATGTATATGGAGTTCTCAATCCAGTGTCTAGCAATAGATTGTCTGAAAGCAACCATCATTAGCACCTCTGCCACCCTAGCCATCACTAGCACCCCTGCCACCTCCTCACTGTCACCACCATCACCACCGTCACAATGTCACTTTCACCACCACCTCCACCATCACCACCATCACTAATAGTACCATTACCACCATAACTGCTAGCTTATCCATCACCGTATCACTAGCAGTACATATCAACATCAGCACCACTGCCATCACTACAATCATTCCACCATTATGACCATTCTTTTCACCTCCAACACCCCTTCACTACCACCCTCCTCAGCATTCCCATCAACGTCCCAACTATGGCCATCACTATTGCCCCTATCACCATCTGTATCACCAGAATCAATATGGTATGAATTCAATAGGTGTTGGTGCTCTATAGTCTTAGATTTTATGCATTTAGCCCCATGTTGAATGAAGCCCATATCTAGGGAGTTTTGCTTGATACTTTCTGTTTTTAGATAACTTTCTGTATGTCCCATAATGGATTAAAGCAGAGGGAGGGAGGTGAGGCCTTTCTAGTGTCCCATAATCAGAATAACTTCTGTTTGAGCCCCATAGGCCACCTCTCCCTGCCCTCCCCTGAAAAAAGCAATCTTGGGTTCCTATGGAAATCCTATTAAGATCCTCTCAGCTTTGAGGAGCTAGATTATACTTTATGATGGCATGTAAGTTCAGCCTGGCTGTTTTACCGTTCCCTATCAGAAGCTGTGCAGTGGGGTTAATGCCCACCTTGCAGACAGGTCCCCTCTGTCACTCATGGGGAAACACGTGTGACTCTTTGCATCCCTCCATCAGTGTCAAAATAACATAAGCCAAATGTGATCTTTCTGGCCCCAGCCCCTTTACTCATAACCAACTGGAAATTTACTGACTGTAATTTCTTAGTGCTTTTGCAGACACTTGGAAAAGGGATTATGCAGAGATAGTTATGTCCCTGGCTTTATTTCCCCCTCTGCTGTCATGCAGCTGGAAAGCAAAGTCCCTATCCCTCTTATCACTCCTGCAGCCACAATCTCCAGCTGGTTTTTTATTAGAAATAGCCACCCAGTTCTGAGTAAGCAAGGATGACAACTGTTGATAAGTTAAAGCCATATCGCTCTAGAATAAGAGGAAACACACAGACTCAATCCCCACAGGTGGAAACTTCAGGGACAGTACCAAACGTTTCTGTTTTAGCAATAAAGAAAAATATCTTTCAATTATTTCACTTTCTCCCTTACTTTTCCATCTGGGAGAATCACGTATCTTTGAAAGACTGAGTCAAGAGGGGCAAAAAGAGAAAGGGGGAGGGGAGGGAAAAGAGAGAGAAGAAGGAGAGAGAGAAAGAGAGAGAGAGAGAGAGAGAGAGAGAGAAAACCAAAATAATATTATAATGGCTGGTGTGGGGATGGCAGGTAATTTGTACTTCAGTGATGTGTTGCTGGAGCAATTTTAAGGGCAAAATGTAAGCCTTTGAAGGAATGAAAGAAAAATGAAAACATTTATTTGGTTAAATGGCTAAGTAAATAAACTGCCTATCAGACTTTCCCAGCTGTCAAGTCAAAGTAGCATCTGTCACAATGGGAATCGTTTGGTCTGTCTCCCTTTGTAACAATAGAGACCGCCATTAATAATAAGTCGCTGTCACTTTTTTAATACTGATCTCCGTAGTGGGAACCCAAGGCGTATGAAGTATTACCTGATAGATTCCTAGTGTTCAGGGAAAGATAAAGATGAGCTTCAAATGCTTTGGGAGAGTGGATATTTGGGTTTTGATTTTAGTTTTGAGTGGCTTGTTGTTTGTTTGTTTTTGGTAAATAAAAGAGAGGAAGAACAGAAGGCCAAAGTCGAAATGAGGCTGAGAAACAAGTGGCCTTAGGCAAACTTGCCTCTCCTCACATGGAGATGGGCAAGTAACATAGCAGTGCCCTGTCTAGACTTCCAAGGATCACGTGACATGAGTATGGCATGAACATGATCCTCAGAACCCACATATAAAGCCAGGCATGGTGGCAAGCACCTGCAGTCCCAGTGTGAGGAGGTGGGGACAGAGAGGTCCTCGGGACTCAACGGCCAGACACCAGCCTAATCACTGAAAACCAAGTCCCGGCGAGAGACCCTGTCTCAAACAATAAGGTGAATGGCCCAGAAAGAAGAACCCCCAAGATTGATCTCTGACCTCCACACAGACCATACATGCACATATCTACATGAACCCACACATGCATGGGAGGTGATTTAGAAAATCTCAAAGTAAAATACGTGTATTTGGTATTATTATCACCCTTCCAAAAATTTTTTTTATTGAACTTTGTAGCTTAGTACAGCCTCAGCATCTTAGTGCAAGGACTGCACTGACACTCCGCCAACCTAGCGTTATTCATTCCCTTTTAAAATAGAACTGAGCAAGAGAACCTCAGAAATAACGCGCTTGTTCATTTGTTCAAATTTGGTATTTGTTAGATGTACAAGTTAGAAGCAAGTCTAACCTACGTTTGTGAAGTGGGCAGGCCCACTTCTCAGGCCATCACAGAGTGACATTCTTTGATGTTCCCAGCTGGAAAACATTTGAAGTAGGAAAAATTACCAGGGTCTGGCTAAAGGCAGTTTCTGCTGGAAGGGAGAGCCAGACCAGTTGCCAAGAGGTATTTAAAGGTGAAGTAGGCTGGAGATGAGACTGAGGGGCATGGGGATACAGAGGGGAAGATGAGCTAGATTCTGAGATGCAGAACTAAAAGATAACAATTGTTCTGTAGAGCGCAGAGTCACTTGCTTAAGCAGGAAATAAGCAAGTATACACTGGGACCAGCTACTCTTGAGGTCCTCAATGGATCGTCAGGTAGAGAAGACAATAGGATGCTGGACATACCTCTGGAAGTCAAAGGTCAAATCAGGGTAGGCATGAAGGTTTCACCATGGTCTTCAGCCATTGGGGTGATGGATACAAGAATATGCTGCCCATGTAGACACAAGGTCAGGAGACTGTATTGTGTGTGTTGTGCAGGCTGCACACACCAACATAGCATCTCTGTGTTTGTGAGCAGAAAGTAGCAAAGACAAGGCATAATGAGCAGAGGTGGCTGGATCCTCCTCTGTGAACAAAACCAGGCAGTTTTCCAGAATCGGCCAGTGGACTGAAGTTTGCTTGCCCATGATGGAGATCACACCCAGTGTTCCTGGAATCACTTAATCGGAGCAATTATCGTGCTTCTCATCTACTCCTACTGAATTATATTTAAAGACTAATGACACTACTTAATTTTTATTCCTGCTTCACAAATTTGACGAGAAAGAAAAAGAGGTACTTGCTAAAATTCTAGGCTGGGGCTGAAGTCTGCGCTGGGACTCAGTGCAGACCAAGTGAGTGAGCACCACTTCTGCAGGATCAGGTACCTGGCTTTCAGCAACAGCCTGACTTCACAAAGGCAAGATGGCTTGACTTCTGACCTTCCGTCTCCTCTGCCAAACAGTTGCCAAAGGTTCATGCAGCTATAACATCTTAGGACTTGGAAAAAACAGGTCTCACATAATGTCTCCCAACAGCTCACCCTTTCCAGGCAAATTTCATTCTCAGAAGACAGAATCCCTAAATCATGGCAACTTCTTTAAAAAGACTTTTAAAAGACTGGAATGCTGAAAAGAGGGTGAGGTCTCCATGCCCTTGCCAGAGCCAGGCTAGAAATTTCTGGATCAAATGGTTTCCTAGCCCCAACAAGGAAGGTAAAGCGATTGCCAAAACGAACAATGCATCACATTGTGAGACTTTGGGGGCTATCTGCTGCTTGGGGTTTTCCACACCACTGCTCCCCTTCATTAGTGGGGATAATTGAGAGCTGATGGCAGTTGTTACCAGTGTTGTGATGGGTATCTGCAGCTCGATTCCGGCAAGCAGGGGCTGCGTGAATATTTATCCGGGCTGCAGAAAGTTAATGCCGCGCGGCATTAATTACCCTGTCTGAGCCTGCTGTCATCTTCTGGTTTTAGGTGTCATTCTTAGCTGGATAAATTGGTTTCCAAAATAGGAATAGAGCAAATTGTAGGGTGAGATCAAGGCAGCTCTCTTTCTAGGAGGACCCAGAGAGAATGGAGTGAGTGAGGAAGGTCTCACAGGAAGCATTGAGGTAAATGGTGTGAGAAAATGCTCCTTCCTTGTTTGTTGTTCATAAGAAATTTTTATTCCGTTCTTGTTTACTACAGTACACCCCATCCCTAGAAAACTTACATACTCATGCACACACACATACAGAGAGAGAGAGAGAGACAGAGAGAGAGGAGACAGAGAGAGGAGACAGAGAGAGAGAACAGAAAGCTTCCATCTAATCTAACAGCAGATAGTAGAAGTAGTTCAGCTATTGGAAGGAAATGGATTAGGACTTAATAGTTCATCCTGCCACAGATTCTGATAAATTCAGCCTTTGGAAAAAAAATAAAGCCAAATTGAAATGTGTTGAAGACAAGAAAATCAAAATATCAAAGATATTAGAAATCATGTCCTAGTCATACACTAATTCGCCAGACATCCCCCTACCCCATCACTACAGTGAGGACCTACTATGTCACATTTCTATGTGTAAAAGCCAATAGGGATGCTCAGTAAGGCCCCGGGGAAGGATGGAGCCCTTCCTGTAGTCAGGCACCCCAGCAGATGGCATTGACTTAGCTCTCTGTTTCCTTCAGCAGGATGAATTCCATGGGTGGAGCATGGAGTGTGGGGAGCAAACCGTTTTGCTCTATGGCAGCACAGGGTGACTAGATGGGCAGAAAAGGCTCCTTCTCCCAAGGGAGCAGACCTCTAGCCAGTCCCGGAGGGGAGCACATGAAGGGTAGTGAAGTTCCCGAGTGGTTCCTCCGCGCTCACGTGACACTGGGGAAGCACAGAAGCGCTGTGCTGCTCTGTGGATCCTTCATCTCTAAAGCGATGGGTCAGACAGTGTTCATCCTCTAGGCCATTCCCAGGGTACCACAGGGAGCAAACGCGGGATGCGTCACACAGAGGAGGCAGCACAATGACCTTGAGACTGTTCTCTTCTCCCAGCTTCATTTTTTGAGTGCTTTTATTCTCATTCTTTGAGAATTTTACACATAAATATGATGAGTTTTGATCAACTCCACCCCTTCCCGTTTGCTCCACTCCAGTTCCTCTCCCATCTCCCTCACCAGTATCTTTTTCCAACGTCATGGTTTTGTTTTGTTTTGTTTTGTTCACTCAGCAGTGCCAGTATGTGCCTGGGTGTAGAACCATCTACTGGAGCTTGGGTAGCCTCTCGGGGGCTGCATCCTTGAAGAACACTGACTCTTTAGTTCCCGGCAGCTAGCTAACAGCTGCTAATAGCTCCTCAGCTTGGGGGTGAGACTGTGTGCCCACCTCCCCGCTCCATGCTGGTATTTTGTCTGGCTTAAGCTTGCGCAAGTCTTGTGTACGCTGCCACAACCAGTGTGAGTTCATATGTGCAACTGCCTGTTGTGTCCTGAAAATACTGCTTCCTCGTAGCCGCCCACCACTTCCAGCTCTTAGATCCTTCCGCCCTTTCTTCCGAGATGGTCCCTGAGCTCTGGGAGGAGGGGTTTTGGTGTAGGTGTCCCGTTTAGAGCTGAGCATTCCACAGTCTCTTATGCTCCGCACGCGCACATGAACTGTGAACTGAAGTCTTTTTGTCTCCAAAATGAGGACAAAGGAGTCTGCTTGCCGGACTGTTAGGTAGATGAAGGTAAGACCCGGGGGCGGTTCACAGACTCTCAGCTCTCTGCAGACAGGAGAACTTCTGCCTTATTTCCTCTTTGCCTTTTTCTCTTCTCTGCTTTCTTCCAGTATTACCAAGTATTATGCTAGGTACTTTCTGTGAGTTATCTACTTCTCTCAAGACCTTGTAGAATTAAACAATACTATTCCCATGGTATAGTTGGAGAAACTGAGGCACAAAAGGTATCAGTATCTTTCCCACTGCACAGAACATAGTGAGCTCACTCTACTATGCTGTGCTATTATTACCCTAATGGGGAATCAGCTTCAAAATCAAAGCTAGGCCTGCTTCTAGGAACTGAGGAGGTTGCTCAGCCTTTAAAGTGTGCCACACAAACATAAGTTTGATCCCTTATGCCCATGTTAAAACCAAAGCATGGCCGGGTGGTGGTGGTCCACGCCTTTAATCCCAGCACTCGGGAGACAGAGGCAGGCGGATCTCTGTGAGTTTGAGGCCAGCGTGGTCTCCAGAGTGAGTTCCAGCACAGGCTCCAAAACTATGGAGAAATAAAAAAAACAAATGCAGTCACATACACTTGTAATCCCAGAGTTGGGAGGTGGAGAAGAGCGGGGCTGAGGTTCTCTGGCCGTTCAATTTATTCTGGTCTACGAGGTGAGTTCCAGGCCGATGATAAACCCTATCTCAAAAACAAGGTATACAGGGCCTACTGAATGAAATTCAAGGTTGACTCTGGGCCTGCACTATATACCCACATGCATTAGACACATGTGCACTTGTATAAAAACAGCAAAACTGTGCACACACACACACAAACACACACATGCACACACACACACAAACACACACATGCACACACACACACAAACACACACGCACACTAAACTCTGGATGTGTTCTTAGGGGAAGCTGAAACCGTTGCCAAAATGAAAAGCACCATGCTGAGACAATACAAAAATAACCTAAGGTCATTCATCCGCAGCTGTCCCTTTTCTGGTTTACCCCAAGCCCTCCTTCCTAAAGCCGTCTCGCAAGGCTGGTGTGAGCGAGGCAGGCCTGACTGTTGTGCCTCTGTCCGCAGGAGCCAGAGCCTCTCTATGCGCAGATCAACAGACCTAAGAAATAGCATCAATGCGAGCTCATGGTGGGTGCTTCGAGACTGGCATGGGAATCAGCGGTGCCACAGGCTCTCTTGTGCTCTCACCTCACCTCATCCCACAGAGAAACTCACAGTCGCCCCGTGAAAACTGTCTGAAGAGAGAACAGAGTGGTTTTTGGCAACCATCAGCAGATACCTATGGCAGCACAAAAAAAAAAAAAAAAAAAAGCAAAATAAAACACAACACCCCCACAAAGATATTTTCAAAATAAATAAAAAAAAAAATAAAACCCAACATTGATCACCAGTCAAGCTGATGCTTAACCAAGAAATACCTTGAGCTCTCTCAGCTGGGCCTGAAATGCCCCGGATGTGAAACCATTATTGTGCTTTTATTTCGCTACCTGTTGACCACTGTAGAGACCACAGATGTGTACTGGCGGGCGTCAGAGAATTGCAACGAGGTTGGCACTAACTCCTTTTAGGCCAAAGCAAGGGATCCTCTGTGACCACAGTGTCATCTTCCATATGCCTTCTGGCTGTGGCAATGTGCGTGGCATCTCTCCACAGGGCCTGGTCTGCCATGCTGTGTCCCCTGTCCTCCTCTTGTCATGTTTGAGAAATAATGAGTGTACAAATTTTTGTATTGCTTTTGACTTTTTTTTTTTTAGAAAGGGGTGAAGTCTACGTGGGGGAGGGAAAGCCTCTTATGAAGTGAATTCACTTGAAATCACAAGGCAAAACAAGTGGTTGGTTCTTCATTATACACAAGAATGTTGCCAAAACAACCCTTTAGTTGTCCTGCATCCCGATGAAGAAAGCCAGCTTCTGGATGGAACCTTCGTTCTGGGGGTAACAAAGGACATCGCATCCCCTTGATGAGAAAGATGGAAAATGCATCCAGTTCCCCTGAGAAGCTGTGGACTCTTGAGTACAATAAAATGATCTCTTTATTTTTCTGATACTTCGCTGCTGTGATGCTGTGCAGACAAGTGTCTTCTCCATGCGCCATTTTCAAAGAAAAGTCATTTGCCAAATAATTCTGGTACAATTCTGGTAATATGGTTTTGGATCTTAGAAACCAGCTTTCTCATGGTGACATTCAACGTAACAAACTGACGCTGTGCTCAAATGGTTCATCTCTATCTCTTTTTGTACATCAGAAAATTCAAATGGGATTTTCTTTTTTTTTATTTTCTAACTGGAAAAGGAAAACCTTACCATTAAACTCTTTAACTGTTGAAGGGAAATGGCTTTAAGGAGTTCTGATGATGTAAATATGTCAATGAAGATGCTTTTAATAATACCATTACACTGTAGAGAAGGTAGCAGAAGGAGTGTAAGGTGCAAAAAAGGAAACATGATGGGTGGGGCCCCCTCTCCAGTTTTTCTGGGATGACTTGTAGGAAGTTAAGGTTCAGAGACAGGCAGAAGTCTTGGGCCAATCAGCAGCTAGTAAACAGGAGGGGACAGGACTTCAGAGCCAACTTTTCTTAACTTCCCTTAAGCCCAAGGGAAGAGAAAGGAGGCTCCCATAGGAAGGTTTCAGATTCCATAAAGCACCCACCTCTCGGCTCCCACTTCCGCTCCCATCAGTTCCCTGGACAGATCGTACGTGAAACAGAAGGAGTCAATTCCTGATTTTACACTTATGGGACAAAAGTCTACTGTCAGTTCATATGTCTAGAACACAACGTTCATAAAGAATCTATATATTTTTACCCTATAGAGAATTGTTATACAGGTCAAATATGTTTTCCTGATGTTCCTATGCAGTTACATGTTGGATTTGGTGGTTTGACGTAAAGAAGGAAACCCTCAAGAGTCATGTGATTGGATCTGGGAGTAATTATTAATTTGAAAAGTCAGATTTACCTTGATATGATTCATTAACATTGGCCTGTATGCTTTGGCTTCTTCCTAGCAATAGGAACTAAAATGATTTTGAAGATGTTCTTAAAGTGACTCTCCACATAAGAATCACAAAGTAATGTCAAGCTAATTGTTATTATTTAGAGCCGACATTTTACATTGGAATAAATGAACCACATGTCTATTAGCGAATCTATGTCGATGCTACCCTACTGTATTATGTCCCAAGAGCTTGAGAAACGGGAAGAGTTGTTCACTGACTGCCTTCTGGAGCTGCTTCCTGTTGCTACAGGGCTCCTCCCACAATGTATATCCATGCTGTGATGAGGCGCCCCTCTCATGCAAAGCAGAAATAGGAAGGAATAATGGCCGAGAATTGTCCTGAAAGCCGTTCTGCTTCCCTGAAGTGTTGGCAAGATGGGTGGTTGCCACAGGAGACAGCTTCGGTGGCTCTGGCGTCATGGTGCCAAGTCTTCATGAGTGGTGCTGTCGTCTCCCTCATGGTAGCTGTCTGGGTTTGTCCATCAGTGTCACACCCTTATCCCTGCTCCTCGGGTTACTGTGACATGAAGCCAACTCTGACTGGGGTTGCCATTCCAGGTATACCATCTGCAGCCAGTGTCTCAGCAGGTGGTGACAGCCCGGCCGATGGTCACCCCTCCCTGAGCATGACTGGATTGTAACTAGATCCGAGCTGAAGGAAGATGCCCAGCTGACACGCTAAAGTGAGGAGGAGAAGGTCGAGATTTTTTAACTGCCTTCTGCACTTTCATTGGCAGAATACCGATTGTTCCCCCCAGGCATTTGGTGAGTTCAGAACCACTGTCCCCCCTACTCCAGGAATATAGTGACGTGTCCAAGCAGGAGCTGAGGTACCAATGCTGAAAGAGTTTGGGGAGTCTGCACAGTTCTGGTTAGGCCGATGGAAAGATTTGTGTGTTTGACTCACTTCCTCATCCTCTCCTAAGCACTGAATTTGTCACTTTAAATTTTGAAACCAGGGAAACGCCACCTGTCAGTCTGTCCCCAGTCCCCATAGCTCCTCGGTCTCTCCATGCCGCAAGACATTTTTGATAACTTGTGTTCATCCTAGCGTCTTCAGCAACCCCATCATGTGATGTACCGGGCACCTTCCTTTAAGACAATGTTTACTCCGTGGGTTCGGTTCCTTTCAACTTCTGCATTCTGACACATATTTTTTTAATAAAGATGAGAAAGAGAAAAATGACTGTCGCAGTACGTTTCTAGACCTGCTTAACCTTTACCTCACATGACAGTCCGTTCACATATATGGACACATTATTTTTAACTTTATGTACAGTGCATTCAACAGAACAGCAAAATTTTTAGAAATTTTCCATTAATTTCTGTAACACGCCATGTAAAACGGTTACAAATAAACATGTTTGAGAACAACAGCTTAGCCTGGTCTTATTCCACAGGTTTCCAGCAGCCAGTCAGACAAGGGATTAGACGAGGAACTGGTGGCTGGCATTCAGTTTCCACCACACCAGAAAACAACCTCGGTTTCCCTGGCTCTGAGCTGGAAAGAGCAAGCCTCACTGATGGTCCATGGTCAGGCCTCACTGGGATGCTTTGGTTTGTTTGTATCCATAGAAACTGACATCGTTGGGAAAATAGGCTAGAAAGAGAGACGTGTGGTATCTGGACCACAGGTAGTGTGGAGCAAAGTTGAGGAAGTCTACATAAAGTGTGGACTAGCTAACTGTGGCTAATGACTGCCATGAGATGTCTGCCTTCATCAAAAGTCATTTGCTCTAAGGATCTTAAAGAAGGAAGCATTTAGTGTCTTTCATGTTTTCCACATGTACACATTTTTAGAAAAATCTGAGTCTGGGGAAAGGGAAAATTTATATTAAAGAACCAAAAACATTTACATATTAATGTGGTGTGTGTGTGTGTGTGTGTGGTGTGTTTATCTTTTTCTAACTAAATCAGTTTACATATCCAAGAATGAACCAGATTTCAGTTAGGTGATTGAGATGCCAAGCCCCACTTCTGTCTAACAGTGGTTGTGTTAATGACTGCATAAACACAAACCTTCAATCTGGCCTTGTTACACTGAAGGGATTAGACAGATGTTATCACTGATTTTGAGAACAGGAGAGAAATGGCGTCGATTTCAGCAAAGTAAATTTGGAGCAGACAGAGAAGCAGCTCCCATATGGATGGAAGAACTCAAAGGTGCTTCCCTTGGTGCCGGTGCCCACGTACATCCAAGCCACTGGTGTGCCCTAATGGATGCTGAGTGCTTTGTGTGTGTTGCCTCCGTTTCTGCCCCAAACAGTCCAGAGTGGGCCCACATCATGACCAAAGCCTTAGGCAAAGAAACTAAGAAACGGGGAAATCACCGCTGCCTAGTGAAAATGGCAGCCCAGAGAGTTTGAATTCGGAGTCTCTCTGCTTAAAGCCGATGTCTGTTTTAAAACAAGTTGGAGAGTGACTGTTTTAATAACCTTCCACAGGGCTGTGGAAAACCGCTGGCTTCCATGTCCCCCTATAAACAAACCTCTGGTTGAGCTGTGGTAGTAAGTTTGAATTCTAAACTTCTCTAGGTTAAAGTCAAAACAAAAGACTATCAGTTGTGCCTTTCTGAAGTTGTTGAACAAGCACTTGCTTCTTTACTTTGCACCTTAGAAGAGGTGGATGTGCAAAGTGTGGGGGGTGGAGGGTGAGCATCAACCTTTCTGCCCAACCCGTTCAAAGTGAACTGAAACCAAACCCTGGGGATTCACTTCGCAAGCCTAAGTGAATCTTTAAGAAGTGACGAATTAAAAGGTGCCCTATTTAAGAGTGAGGCATGTGCCAAAATAAATCAGGCAGACATACCTGCGTTCCTTCTGCGCTCCAGAGCAAGCCCTTGTTGTTTTGACAGTGAATGGTTTTTGTTTTACCTGAGAGTGACAGTCGGGAAAAATGCACAGAATAAAAACAGGTTTCATTGAAATCAGCCTTCAGAGCTTTGAAAGCCTTTAAAGGATGTTTAAATTCCAGGGAAATGGGAGCAATGATGCCTGAAAGATGAGGTGGGTGGCAGGAACAGATGTGAACAGCTCCCAGCCACGTAGTGACCAGCTCTCAGAGTTGGTGCTACGGTGTGTATAGTAATCGCCACTGTCCCCTCCTGCTGTGCTCAGGCCACCTGTTTCCTTCCTGTCACTCACAAGTTTTTAGCAAAGCCTGAGAGGAAAGAAACGTTGCCCCATCTCACAGGCTCCGAAACCGAACCTCATGGTGTAGAACACCTCCGTGCTAATAGCAGAGAGCCCAGGTTGAGAGTGCCAAGCTCTGTCCTCTGACCTGAGCATCCTCCAGCATCAGGCCCCTGTGTCCTTGTAGAAAATGCCTAGAGTCCTTGGGTATTCAGTCGCAAGATGTGGCTATTATATTAGAAAAATCACAGCACACATTGCTCTGTCTGATTCGGTACAAAAACTGATTCTTAAGTAAAATGTAGTTATTTTAAAACAAAGCGGGGGAAATCCAGTTTTATTCCTGAGAACAATAACAGCTCTAACCCAGTCGAATGAATATTTAATTCCCAAACAAAACCTTCACAGTCTCTTTATCTTCCAAGGTACAAAGATCTGAAGAGGCTTTTTTGAGCGGGCTTCCTGCTCATCTCGCCTGAAGAATATTAATGACTGCCAAGTGGAACACGTCTAAATGGTCTTGTGAGATGACAGCCTCTGGTGACTTGGGTCTTTCATCTGCTGAACAGCCTCTTTTCACTTCTGTCATTCAGTCTGGGGTCACTACCTGGAGTGGGGAACTGGCCAAGTGACGGGGGGTAGAATTAGCAGGTCCAGGAGCTGGCATATTGTCACAGTCAAATGTCAAACCATCTGTCTTTATTCTGTGTTGGTAACAGCTCTACTGTCCCTAGCCTTTGGGGCGGGTGGTGGAGGAGCCCAAGTCCCCCTCATCTCAGATAATGGGATCGAGCCTTGATCTCAAGAGTCTAGGTCAGTGGCTCTCAACCTTCCTCATGCTGCGACCCTTCCATACAGTTCCTCATGCTGTGGTGACCTCCAGCCATAAAATTACTTCATTGCTACTCCATAACTGTAACTTTGTTTCTGTTATGAATCATAATATAAATATCTGATATGCAGGATAGCTGACCTCCAAAGGGCTCACGACCCACAGGTTGAGAACCACTGGTCTAGGATGTTAGTGACAGAAGGGTGTCTCCTCTTACTTGATCTGTCTCGTACCCTTTTGGACTTTCGTGGCAAGAATGAAAAAGTGCCCAAGTGCCCCACAGCTTTTCTTAGCCCTTCGGGACAGAGCACATCATAGCATGAACTAAATAAAGTGAGACTCAGTGACTAGTCTGTGTTCAGACAGAGGAGACGAGTCAAGGAGGTCACCTAGCTATCTTCCTACCAGGCACCAAAATTAAGCAAATTCTTATTAAGGAAATACTGTGTCTGAGCAAGTGGTCACCCTCTCCTTGTCAGCTGCCACTTTTCTCATGGATGAGGGTGGGGGACCATTGCTGCTGGCAAGTCAGAGAGAGTTAGATTCTGGCACTTTGGCCTGTCACATTGTCCAACCTCAGATAAGTCATCTAACCTCTCTAGAATCCCCGTGTCAACCTGAGGGCAGTTAGGAGAAGTAAACGTGATGATTCCACACCCGCTGCAAGAGCTGCTCAGTGCACACTGCCTTTCGTTATCATCCAAGAAAGGATATAAGCTGTGGTGTGAATTCGTACTTAATCCTTTCACTTAACACCTTGTCCCTTTCACACCCATTGTCTTAGCGCAGCAACTTTGAAAACATGCAGAAAGCAGAGCGAGCACTGCCCCTCTGTTACCATCAAAGAACTACAAAGAAGTGCACACGTAAGTCTTTGAGATCTTCACTGCCTCAATGTGTCGGGGATTTATTCATTTAAGAAAGAATCATTAAACATAAGCTGTATGCCAGCTCCTGTGATGAGCCCTGGAGATTAAAAAAAACCTAAGTGTATGCATGAGTGTCCCAGCTTCAAGAAGCTCAGAGCCTGGTAAGCGGGGAAAAAGTTAGGAGAGAAATAGACTATTGTATGGTCAATTCTCAAAGGTGCTAATACGACACTGGCCGAGCTGGGTGCTCAGGGATGAGTGGTTGAGCAGGAAGTGATCCGTGACATTGGGTAGAAGAGCATCTGCAGAGATGGCAGGGCCAGTGGACATGGAGTTATTTACCCGCGGTAAATAACAGTGAAGCCGAGGAATAAACCCCATTTAAACTGTTGAAAAGCACAGAGCTTTGTCTGTTCATATTTGAAAGCTAGAACAGCAAAGCATCCAAAGACTGATACAAATGATAGCCTCATCGTCTCATAGATAATCAGAAATGTCTAAATTAAATTTAGATCAAACATACTTATAAACCATGACTGAATAAAACTGATTTTTGGAATGTAAGTAATAAGTTCGGAGAAGCCAGCCTGTCAAAGACATCTGATAAATCTATTAACCTTTTCTAGAAAAAGGTCTTAGAGAGTCAGGCCTGGTGATAGCATGTCTATATAACCCCTAGTTCTCAGGATGGTCATGAGTTCAGGGTCAGCCTGGACTCCAAAGTGAGTTAAAGAACTCACTAACTTAGTGAGAGCTTGTTTAGTATTGTCAGAAAGAGGGTGAGGCTGGGGGTGTATCTCGGTGGTAGGTAGAGTGCTTGTCTATCGTGTCTAAGGCCCTGAGTTAAATCCTGGGGATGAGGAGAGAAATGGTAGGGTCCAGCCTCGACAGGTTCATATGTTCCAGTGTAGGGTCGTGTGGATTAGAAATGCTAGGCAGGAAAGCCAGAGACACAGAAGAAATAGAGACACAGGATCCAGTCAGGAGGGCAACCCAGTGAATACTGAATCTGCCTGTGTTTATTTCTCCTGAGCTTTAAATACCCCAATCCAAAAGTGGGGGAAAGAAGTGAAGACTTCATTACCGTGATACAAACAAGGAACAAACAAAATAATTACCATCTTAAGACCTAGAATAGCAAATAATCACACCCTAGGTCAAGTCCCCAGGACTGCACAGTAGTAGCCACTCCTTAAGTCAAACCTCCTGTCAGTAACCCTGAAGGAGCAAGGACAGGCCTGAGCTCTCCGACAAGTCAAGGTGAAATGGATCCACTTCTGTGGGCTCCAACAGAGAAAAAGGAGCAGTATTAGAAAGTCGAATTATAGTAATATTCCCTTGGCACACTGTCTTAGTCAGACTTACTATTGCAATGATGGAACAGCATAATCAAAAGCAAGTTGGGGAGGAAAAGTTTTAATTTTTTTTTGCTTTTACATTATGGTCCATCATTGAAGAAAGTTAGGTAGGAACCTTGAGGCCGGAGGTGATGCAGAGGCCATGGAGGGGAACTGCTTACTGCCTCATTCTGCATGTGTTTGTTTTATAGACCCCAGGACCTCCAGTCCAGGGTATACAGACCCACAATGAGCTGGACCCTCCCTCATGAATCACTAAGAAAATGTCCTATAAGCTTGCCCACAGCCTCATCTTATGAAGTTGTTTTCTTAATTGAGGTTCCCTCTTGTCAGATGACATTAGCTTGTGTCACACTGACATAAAACTAACCGGCACACCTAAAATAATATTTACCTCAAAC